TGCTGATCTTCATCGTGCCTTAATATGTTAAGTGACATTGCAGTAGATGTGGAGTCTACCGGGAGTGTGGACTAGTAAATAATCACACAGGGTGCAACAGGTTTACGTGGTCTGTGAATGTAAGGAAAGTGCACCATGTTCCAAAAACCACAGTATGAAAATCTGTAGTGAAAGACTATGCCGTAATTCATGAATGTGACAAGCTAGAGGTACAGGTACAGGGAAAGTAAAACTGACTTTTTTTTTAAAAAAAAAAAAAATTTACCTGTGAAAAATGATGTTTTGAGTGGAGTTCTTTTGATGTCAAAGGGTGTAGATTTTATTGTTTGTGAGAACGGGGACTGCTCCAGCAGCCGAGAGCCAATACTGAGTATGACCTAGTTAGAAAAAACCACAACTTGCTGCCGATTAACTTCTGACTAAGTATTTTTCCAGTGGTTCACTTAGAGTACTGTGGAATTAAAATAATACTTACTTAGAAAACAAAAAAGGGTTCTTTAAAGCTCTGTGGAGTTAATCTTGGGCGATGGACAGTGAGGAACATTATCCCCACGCTGCAAATGAGGATATAGAAGGTGACTCTTTGGCCAGTGTTTATGTGAGTCACTGTCACAGTCCAGATCACAGCCCGGGGTTTTGGCTTGCACTTTTGAAACTCACTGTGTGATTTTATTTTTTTGTTGTTAAGCCGGATTGGGTCTCTGATCCTCTTAGCAATGCTGTGATTAGAGAGAGTCCCCGTAACTGGTTAGTTGCACATTCAGTTCAAAGTTTGGACGCATTCTTCAGCTGATGGGTGTCATGGAGAAATGCTTGTAAGTGCTCTGCATTCCTTGTCTTGCTTGTTTGATTTTATTAACGTGTTAAGCTGAGGTTGGTAGGAATCGACATTTCAAGAGCGTATCCAAAGGGCAGCAAGAAACGCAAGCTGTGTGGATCCTCGCAGGCAGAAAGTGGAGAGCCAGCTTTGCTTGTCCCTAAATGATGGCTCTGCAGCCCCTGTGTTTAGAAATGCATTTCATTTTGGCAGCACCAGTGCTAGGCTCTGCCCAGCTGGGCTTGGTTTGGGAAAGGACTGAGCCTACAGTGCTGAAAAGCCAGTATTGCCTCTGAGCACGGCTTTGCTGGTAGCTCCCTCCGGCCTTGTGGGCTGTGCCCTAAAGGCCTACATCGTTGTAATTCTTTACAGTTTCTCTTCCCAGAACGAAATGAGTTTTTGGTTTACTGCCCAGGAAGGGGACGTTTCTTGGATGGGATCTCTGGAGTGGAGATCCTTGCAGAGTATTCCTCTTACAGGTCAAGAAGAAAACAGGCTTTCAGTCTGTTGATAATTTTTAGTTTGAATTGTTAAGAGTTTTTGTTGTTTGCAGCGTGTTAGTTTTTATTGCCAATAGAGATTTGTGAGGACCACAGGGATGGTGGCACTTCTGAGTTACGGTGATGAAGGATGTCTTGAGTAAGATACCTCCCTGTGACCTGGCCCTCAGTGGAAATGGTTTGATGGGCTGTTGGGCCGTGCGCGGCGCTGGGGTGGGAGCAGCTGCTGCGAGGGCAGCGGGGCCCCTGCCGCGCTCCTCTCTCCTCCTCCTGGTCCATCCCTGCTGCCCTGCGAGAGGTGCGGAGGGGACTCGTGGGCACTGCCGCCGCTCTCGCCTGCAGGTTTGACTTTGACCTCGGCGTCCAGGGGAGACCAGGACCGAACCAGAGCAGCGTGAGAGCGCGGCACGCTTCTTCCGCTCCTCCCCAGCGCTGGGGTCCTGGAGGTGTTCCCCGGCACGGGGACGGTGAGGCTGAGCAGCCTCCTCGGAAATGCCAAGAAGGAGATGCGCCCTGCCTGAGGGCAGCCGGGTACGGCAGGCAGGGTGCTCCTCCAAACTTGCCGGCCCCAAACTCTCCACAGGCTCCAGAAAAGGGCTGAGTTTGGAACATCTGGGCTGCCATTAACCGGTCGTGCCTTCTTGGCAGGTTAAATCCATGTGCTGCAATGAGCTGTGTTACATGCCACAGGATTTTCTGCCTGGCTCCTATTTCACGTGTTCGTTGTGATTTGACTTACTGACAGAACAGTATTAAAGACTGCCATTATTTTTGGTGTTTGATTCCTTCTGTATTTACAAGTATTATTTAGGAAAAGTGTATTTTTTTTATGGACACTTTTTCACTTTGTTTTCCATTGCATGTAACAAATTATCACTCACATTTCTGTCAGGTAGATTTTTTTAAAAGGTGCAAAAGTAAATATGCTCTAGATTGCTGTTTGTCACCAAATTTCATGACTTTTGGTTAAAATAAATAACAGATTGCCTACAGAAGCCAGGAAGAAAAGTGAGTTGCATGTGCAGAAAAAATAGCAATATAGTTCAGACTGATATTTTTCTGTAAATTACAGGATTTTTTTTTCTGTGTTTGAGAACACCTCACGTAACAGGGTTTTGGTTGACTTGATGAGAAATTGGTGAGTTGGGCTTGGGACTTACTGATGTAAAATAAAGAGGATATAACCGTATAAAGAAGGGCTGGAGTTTTGCAAGCAGACCCTGCTTGTGCCCACAGTTCTGTTCTGAGGGTAGAAACGCCTTTTCCTCTGTGGACCTTGTTGTGCAACGGAGAAGTTATCTAAATAAATGTGTAATTTGGACATCATAACCTTTTGCCTGTTTGAAGTGGAAGCAAAAATTAATACTCTGGTCATTTTTATTCAGAGTCACGGTAACTGAATGGTAACTGTCATGAGGAAAAACATAAGATAACTCTGGGTGTGGATCATTGTTTGTGGTTTTTAAAGAAAAAACTGTGCTGGGGCACTTTTGGGAATGTTTCTTCAAAGTCAACAAACAGAAAACGCAAACCACCTCCAGGAACCTCTGTGTTGCTTCCCGTGAGAGGTTTTCCCGGGTAGTTTGCTGTAAAAGCCTTTGGAGTTTCTAGGTGGAGGTTCACAGAGTTTTTCTTCAGAGCACCTCCACAATCAAGAGCCCTTTCCAGTGGGCTTACGAAGACCGCGGTTTGCTCACGTCCAGAGAAGTGAATTGTAATCAGTGTTTTCATTCCACCATTGAGGATCTGTTTGTGCCCCAAGATCTGGGGTTTGGGTGTTTGCTCATCAGAAGCTGTGACGCTGAATTGCTTAACAAGGTTTGTGACTCGTTACACCCCACTTGAGTAGCAGCACAGAGAGGATGCATCACCGCCACTAATCTTGTCAGGAATTGCTCCTTGGTGGTGGCTGGAAGGGAGCAGAGGGTGGAGTTCAGCCTTTCACCCTTCCTGAGCTGAGGCTTGCCTACTGCTTTCAAATTTGCCTTCGTCTTTCCGTCCAGTGTGTGATGGAAGCTGGAGTATATCCTCTTTAAAAGTCAGAACCAAAAATCCACTGAAGAATCAGCAACTTTTTTTTTTTCTTTTTTTTTTTGCTGTCTTTGTTGGTATTAAAAATTATTTTATATCCTGTTTTCACTGTCTTTACACCAATGGTTGAAAGCAGTATTTGGTCTGTGACTTTACAGGAGGTAAGTTTATTTGTGTTTGTATGTATCAGCAGTGTTTGTCCGTTTTGGAAATGCAGTATCCTCCTTTTAAAAGCTAACCAGAGTTCACCAGTTGCCTTTTGTAAGTGGAAGGAGGAATTTGGGAAAGAGGAATCTCTTATTTTACCGATTGTAGAGACTGAGCAATGCCGAAGAGAAGGAAATCGTTGTCATAGTCGGTAAATCGTGGTGGTGTGTAGAGAAGAGGCAGGAAGCTCTCTGTTTACGCTAAGGACAACTAGCAGGTCTGACGAGTTGGCTTATGCCAGGTTACAAAATGCTGTCTGTGATGTGAGTCCTGCTGTAACGAACCGGCTCCATCTGTTGAACTTTATGCCATTGCAAATGGTATTTTATACAACGCTGTAAATATTTCAGAGCCATTGAAAATAGTTCGCTACGTATGAAAAGCACTATTTGCTATTTTTGTCTTTACTGTGTAACGCTAGGTTTTATTTAGACTTAAGCAGATTCAGAGTTTCCTCCTGAGGAAGGAGGCAGTTTTTCACTGCTAGATCTGGGGGGAGGAGCTGGAAAAGACAAACCATCTAATCGCGCATGTTGCCCTGTGTGGAGGAAGAGTAAAGGTGGCCCTGTAAGAGACTTTCAGCTGGAAATTAAAAGTATGGTGAACGAGATCAAAACATCTCTTAGCTATTGACTGGATGCCCAAGGTAAGAGATCTTTAACTTACTAACAACGTGCCATGTAAACTCTAGTTAAAGAGGAGGATAGCGCATTTCCAACCACGTAGCTTGCTTACCCACTTGTCTGCGAATGCAAAGCAGGAACTTCGAACTCCACATTGTGCGGCTTGCTTTGCGGACACTTGAAGCTTTTGGCAAAAGCATAGCAAAAATGTTAAAGCAAACTTCTTTCTGGGTTATTTTGTGGAAGTCTTAAGAATTTGCTGATTTCTCCCTCTAAGCAACATCCCTATGAGAAGGTATTGGTGCTGCAGCACCTGGCAGCAATACCGTCCTGATCTGGTCCCAGTTTTTAGGTGAGGTCAAGTCGCTTTCTGACAACTGCTCACTGGCAGAGCTGTGTCCGTAAAAATCAACATTTCCAAGATGGTCTGAACAAAATATAGAAAGAAAGACACATTAGAGTATTAGTATTATTATTATTATTAAAACTGCAATTTGGTTTTATGCTTTAAAGTTTATATAATTGTTACAGAAGAATTTTACTTTTCAAAATTCCTTGTCCCAAACACAATACAGAGCAATCAAAATGAGAAAGATCCCCGAAGTTATGCATCTTTTAGCAGCAGTTACTTTAACTGTGTTAAAACAAAAGTATTTTACTTAAAGTTTCTGTAACAAAACAAGTTATTTAAAGTACGATCTTTTGGAAAGGAAGCAAACTTACTTTCCTGTCCAGGGCAGTGCATAGTCTCGTTGCACAATAGGGTCACGTTAAGGAGAGAGTATTTGTAGAGGTTCTGCTTCCTGCCACAGAGGAAGCTCCCACACAGAAGAGACCTTTTTTAGCATCCTCTTAGAGCTGTAGTTGTTCTTTTTTAAGACAAGCATGCAAAATCTTCTTGCAACAGAAATGAAAATTGCAGCTTCGTGGTGGTGAGTTTGGAAAGAAAAAAATATCTGAGCGTAGCCGGTCCGCAGGAGGAAGTGAAGACAGGTGAATAATGTGCTGATGCAAAGAAATCACATTTTGTAGGAAGGCATTCACTGAACAACTCTTGGAAATTTTTTGCTGTCTTAAGTGCTGATATATATTCACTTTTACTGTTCTGTCTTGGAGAACATAACTTACCTTTCAAGTGAGCACAAGTCTTTTTGAAATCTCAGCATGTAGGTTATTGTTCCTCCACCTACGAGTTCCTGTAAGAACTTGGTATTTTTCCTTGAGTTTCCATAGCGCACAGGTTCCCTTTGCAGTCTCTTTTGGTACGAAAGATACACAGTTGTTGCGTGACTGAAGGCCAGTGCATTTTTTGCTCTCTTAAAATCCGTTTGAGGAGGGCACCTCTATCTGTCCCACCTGACTGTGTTCTTCTGAAGATGAAGGTCTGTATTTGATGTGGACTTCTGAAAGTCCACTGACCCACAGACATCTTTTGAATATGATTCTCTTTCTCAGCCCTAGAAGAACAGGCACTGAAAGTGATTTTTAAAAAACATGAATTACTACTGTTCGTTCTTCTCCTGTGTACTTACCTTCTCTAGTTAGTGCTCTACGTAGTTATTTCTGCCTGCGTGGAGTGGGTAGCGCGTGCAGTGCAGCGAGGACCAGGGCCTGCGGTCTCCAAGTTCGGCATTTTGTGTTGCCGTGCGTTGCCTGCCGAGCAGGTCCTGGGCCTGTGCTCAGGGAGTGAGGTCCCCTCTCCATCTGGCACTTTTTCTCAGCAGGTATCCTGTAAAACGTGCGCTGTTCTCACTGGCGCAAGTAACAGAGGAAGCGCACAAATGGCAATACAGGTTATACGAGCTGTAGGGAGTTCCTCGCTAAATGCTGTTCTTCACTGGTCCCGCAGAAGATGGGAAGCTGGCGCTATGTTATCTACAAAATGGACTAAGGCAGGACAGCTTTCTCCTTTCAATTGGAAACATTATTATGACTATCTCTTAATTGGTCCCTGTTCACTGCTGCTGGGTGGGATTTTATCTGCCTAATTTCTTTTGATGATGAGCAAGCAGAAACCAAGTGCTTTTTGTGGAGAGGACTATGTTTACTTTTGACAGAGAAACCCTACAATCAGCGTGTCACTTGTGCGACACAAACGTAACCATTGGGATGTAAGTGGAACCGCTGCATTTGCACTGCTGGCTTAATTCACTGTTGTTTCCCAGAGCAGCAGTCCTGTCTTAATGTGCACTCTTGCCTTCTCGGTGTTTTACACACACAATACACTCGCTTATTGCTCTTTAATATTGATAAGGATTAACTTCCTTTTCTGGTTGTTCCTTTCTTTCTGCAGAGGGAAAACCGCAGGCTCCAAGAAGCAAGCATGCGGCTGGAGCAGGAGAACGATGACCTCGCCCATGAGCTTGTAACAAGCAAAATCGCCTTACGGAATGACCTGGACCAGGTAATGCGAACAGAGATGGGTCCCAGCGCAGGGTCGGCACCACCAATTTTAGGAGCCCTGCCTTGTGCTCAAGTGAAAGCATGAGCACAATGTTAAAAGTGTAATTATTTGCGCCTTTATTTTCCTGACAACCTTGCTCCTAGTTACAGTCAGAAAGCTGGATTTCCACATGCGTGCAACTGTAGGCATTCACAGGGGTGTCTTTCCAACACTTCCAACAGTTGTTTTAGAAAATGTAAGCCATAACCTTTAGGCAGATACCAAAGAATGAACATTTAGTTGAAAAAGGTATCATGTATTCCTCGAAAGACTAATTTCAAGGGAAGTTGCCTTGCAGAATGTCCACCACCTTACGTGGATCTGTTTTTCACAGCAGTTTTAGAACAGCCAACAAAATTCAGAGATAATGAAGTGGCATGACTCTAAAAATGAGAAGGGCTCCTGGGTGTCCTTTGATGTTTCCTGTGAAGACTGGAGTGTGGAGGGCAGCAGCATTCAGAGCCCTTTGTCTCAGAGATGACTGTCAGAGAACGACACATTCAGCTCTCTTTCTGGAGCGTTTTATGTAGTATTGATAAATGCCGTCACAGCTGTTATTAAAGGTACTAAATACAGGAGGGCCATACTCCACCGCACCTCGTGATTAGTCCCTTGCCCAGTGAGGGCTGTAGTGCCTTTTGTAATGTAAAATCTTGGCCTCCAAGGGCCTCTCAGTTTGACTTCCCATAGTTATTTGGCTTTCTTTATCTAACCTCAGAATTGTAAACATCATTGACCACCGTTCTGCAATTTGTATTTCTGTTTAGGCAGATCCTTGACAGTTAGGCTCTGCTGATTTGGATCCATGTGATTCTAAAAATCTGAGCTGTCTTGATGAGCAAACGCAGGCAGAGATGCGCTCTGCATGATGGAGTGGGCGGTCTTGTGTGAAGGCCAAAAGCGATGTGTTGAGGTGCTCTGTCTTCCCTGGGAATAGCTGTACGTAAAGCAGCTTTATGTCTGCTGCTGCCCGTGCTTGGTTTTTCACACGTTATTACGACAAGGCTGCCAAGCACGTACCTTTGCCAGTCCCATTCCTTGCTCTCCTGCCTTTCAGCAGTCTTTCTGTAGATGAGAGTGGCTCCGTGAAGTTTTCCCACAGCCTGCCTCAGTTCACTGGCACGGAAAGCAAAGCTTTGTGCTGCGAGGGCAGGTGATACCGTACACCGCTGCAGGTGCTTGGAGAACCTGGAATGAACACATGAAAGGAGGAGAGACTTGTAGTTCCTGCAAAGCGTATCTTAAACAGGTCTTTCATCAAATATACCCTTGCAATCTCTGAGTTCTTTTGTTCTAAGATGTCAATCTTAGCAATTTTCTGTCTTTCCATTCTCCCATACAGCCATATAGACACACTAAGCAATGCAGGAATCCTCAATCCATCTCTTCAGTCGTGCCGCTGGTGGAGCTGCTTCTGCTGTCCACAGTCACCACTAACACCCTCATGAATAGCTAGCGCTGTGGCAGATAGATAAGCTAATACCACCAGCAGTGGTAGAAAACCAAACTGCAACTCGGAGACGAGTTTTGTACTGTTTTTTGTTGTTTACAATGCCATTTTCCCTCTTGTATTTTCAGCAAACTAAGTATTATTTGACCACCACCACTGCCTGTTCTAGCACCTAGTTACTGAACAGAAGGAGTGGCGTGATGCAGTGTCTGTCTCCCAGCTGGGGAGGTCAACAGAATAGACCCAGATACTGAGAAATACGTTTCTCTCCTGGTGATCGGTGAGGATAGTGCTCACAAAAACAAAGCATTCCCAGTATGTTTCACCATAAGCTCAGCCCTTTAAAGAAAGGAGAAAATTCATATTCTCCAGTACGCACACAGTATCAAGTTTCTCTAGGTAATACTTACTTGCACTGGTAAACAAACCGTTTTATCTTGTGGTCCTGTTTGTCTCTTTTATACTTGTCTTCACCCAGACACTTTGTAAGTTGTAGTGCAGGCAACTAACATTTTCTACGATATCTGGGTTCCCTGCTTACAGATACAAAAATGGAATGAGTTATCTGAAGTTAAAGCTAAATCATGCTGCCCTCACTTAGATTAATATTGTTCCCAACAAAAATATTCTGTACATCATTGTTCGTATTAGGTTTGTACTGGGACATAGTATCTCTGCTTACTTGCCATCTGGGCATAGGTGAATATTTGGCAAAAGGGCCCTTCTGCACAGTTGTTGAAACACAGTGAAATAACTTAGAAAACAGCCACTTGAAAAGGGAATTCTGTGTAAAAAACAGGTGAGGTGAGCCATCAAAGGGCAGGAAAAGGCAACGGTAGAACGTAAATCTGCGATAAATCTGAGATGTATACACCAATACGTTTGTGCTGGCACGGATAACATCTGATTTACACCAGCGTTTTTAATTCTAGGCTGAAGACAAAGCAGATGTGTTGAACAAGGAACTTCTCCTGACCAAACAGAAGCTAGTGGAGACTGAGGAAGAGAAACGGAAGCAGGAAGAGGAAACTGCTCAGGTAAGGCAGTCTCCAACTTTGCCCATTTAGCAGGGAAATGCAAGCAAAAGGATACGCAGGAAAGAATGAATGTGTTGCAATTGCAGAAAGGATTTTGTCTGCAAAATGCAGTTACAATTAAAAATTTACAGTACCAGGGTAAACTTTTTTTTTTAAAGTATGTTTTTCAGTGTTTTGCTTTACTTGAGCTCTGAATGTTCAGTTTTCCATACCTTATCCTCTTCCCAGTATTGTAATAATCATTTTCACTGGTGGTGAGCAGTCACAACTAAGGAGACATGATCAGGTTAATTATCTAAATAAGGAGCTGGTAGAGTTGTTGCCTTATCCGAGGCCATTCTGGATTCAGCTGCTGGCTCACTGAAATAAGGCTGTGAACGTTCCTGTCTGAAGCTAGAACCAACAGCAGAACAGAGTGGAGGGTTGGGAGAATTTGGCAGACTAGACCTGGCCTCATACTCGTTTGCAAAATGTTCAGCTTTATTTTTTTAATCCTACGTATCTAACGTGCTGAATACTGACACACGTGAAAGTATGTTCCAAAAGTGGTACCCTGATTTTTATTTTTGCCGTTTGACAACAGTGACTACAACAATCAAACGGTAATTCTTTGTGTCTCTCTAACATGGAGGTTGCTAAGTGCTCTGTTTGCTATAAACAAGGCAGTGGAGGCCTTTTTCCTACTGAAGGGGCTCTAAAAATTTAGTGGTTCTGAACGGTGGAGGAATGAGTGAGCTGTATTTTAATGCAGCGCCACAGACCAAACCAGATTTTTTTCTCCTGTTACAGAAATGAGCACGATAATGCTGAGAGATTCTTCTTCCCCTTCCATCTCCAAAGAAACAAATGATGTCTGCCCAAACGTGCTGTGACAGCGTGCAGAAAAACAAAACCAAAATCAGTAAAACCCACTTAATAGTAATGCTCTTGTTTTGTGTTTTGTGGACCGTGCTGTACCACCATTTAATGCAGAGAGAGAGAATTACCCTGCAGGAGAATTCTCTAAGCAGGGGATACACCGTATCACGCTATAGGCTTTTTGCTTATAAGGGAGTATAAGTATTTGTGTATCAAACACTTGTCTGAACAACTGGAATTTGGTAAGAAGAAGCTGTAGAACTGTTGTAAACACATCAAGACTTTGAGGGGACAATCTGATGGCACAGTTTGAGAACTTCTTTCAGTGTACTTGTGTAACTTCTCTCCTTCAATTCCTAGCTGAAGGAAGTCTTCAGGAAGCAGCTAGAGAAGGCAGAATCTGAGATCAAGAAAACCACAGCCATTATTGCAGAGTATAAACAGGTACTGTACTAGAGACGCTTTCTCATATTTCTTCTTTCAACCTGTTCTGAGAGCTGAATTTTCAGAGTTGCAGGTCTCATCCTTTGAGATACATTACATTTCAGGCTTTCAGAGAGCAAGCATTGTAGTTTGTCATAAATCTTTTTGCGGTTTTCCTATTAGTCTCCTAATTTAGGGAATGAGGAGTAACCTGTCTTTCAGCTAATTTTAGTACTGTAGGGTGAATGCTTCTTTACTTTGTGACATAATGCAGCATAAACATTATAAATCAACTTATCCATAACGTGTTCCGATCTCCAGGTTCTGTGTTGAATACTGCCATTTTTTTCAGTCTTCTTAGCAGCAGCAGTGGATTTGTTAAGGAGGAATGAATATCTACCTGAGTGAGGCAGAATTTAAGAAATGTTGGCTCTAACAAAAATCATTGTTAAAAAGCACGGGTTATATTTTAGTATAGTAAACTTTAGCTAAGAGACTGCTTTCTCTGCTCCAGATTTGCTCCCAGCTGAGTACCAGGCTGGAAAAACAACAAGCGGCCAGTAAAGATGAACTGGAGGTTGTGAAGGTGAGAATGATGCCTCTACATATGGGATGTTTCTAACGCAAGTATTGCTAAATGCCAGGGATACAGAACAAAATGTGAATTGAAGTTTAATATAACAATGGCGGTGTCCACCCAGCTGCACTTATAGCCCCACGTGCAGTTCTCATCAGATGTAAGCAATGGAAGGGTTTATTTCCTTTCACGGTTCTTTATCTTATATCAGACAGGGTGGGATTCTCAAACTGAAGTGCATATAGTACTCGGCTATTTTTTTTCCTGTTGAAATGTATACTTTTGGCAAAAAATGTAGAGACAGCATTTACTCGGATGTTATAATTAAATGGGAAGAAAAAAATAAAAAGAAGAGAAAACGTGTTGCTTCTCCGGTGTGCACAGTGGAAGGGTCAGAACTGGCTGAATTGGACAATGTCTGTATTTGGGTTTCTGTAAATTAGGCAGAATTGGTTTAATTATTTGGCACTTTCGGGCCATCCCCAGGATTTCCATAGCAGTTCCTCTCCCTTCTTAAACCCCCTTGCCAGGAACATCTGCACTAGAGGTAACCGTTTCCTGATGAGGTAATAATTCCATCCTTCTGCTTTGTCTCTACTGAGTAGGCAGAATTGTTTTCCCTCTGCTATAGCTTCTAGTTGTTTCCTCAAGTAGAAGCTTGTAGTACTCAAGCTGAACCTGATCTGTTGCTTTTTAGAGACTTCTCTATGTTATTGATTAAAAAAAAAAAAGAATTCTAGGATTGATGTTCCTGTAATCTGCTGAAGAAGCTCAATATCCTCTTTTAGTTTGTGCGAGCCAGGCCAGCTGTGCTGTATCTTCAGCTGTGAGTAACTGGTTCACCTCTGCAGGTAGCATGAGAAGCTTACTGTTGTGTGTCAGGCATCGCTGGCAAAAAGGGCCATCCCCTACGATGTTAAACAGGCACCAACAGGACAGTATTGGCCCTTGCAGTGAGCGCAGGCTGCTTGCTTGCTTGCTTCTGGAAATACGGAAAAGCCACCTGGCATTCTGTAAAATATCACGGTCTGTATTAATTTGATCAAGTGCTTTTATGGAAGACAAAAAGGCCCTAGACTGTCATTTACTCTTCAGAACTGTGCTGGCATAAATACTGTGAATTATTGCAAAGCTTTAGTAGCAAGAAGGCTTGAGTAATTCCAGTCTAGGAGCAAAGTAGATTTTAGAAATTTTTATAGTGGTTAATACACCCTGGAAATTGTTCATGAACTTCTCAAATTTTTTTCCTGTCAAATATGAAAACTGCAGTACTAGATAGTTGGAGATCACTGGCCAAAAGGCAATCTAACATAAAAAACGGCTCTTCCAGGAAGCATAGCAACCCTGTGACATGGATTAAAAATTATCTTTCTGGGTATTTCAGGGTAAAGTGATGGCCTGCAAACACTGCAGTGAGATTTTCAGTAAGGAGGGGGCACTGAAGCTGCCTGCCGTAAACACGGAGAATAAAGGCATAGAAACAGATGATGAGAAGGATGCGCTGAAGAAGCAGCTGAGAGAGATGGAGCTGGAACTTGCACAGACCAAACTGCAGCTTGTGGAAGCCAAGTGCAAAATTCAGGTATGTGGAATCCAAGTACAGCAGGGCAATCTCCTTAAGCTCCTGGTGCTCGGTCCCAAATAATTCTGAATCATGCAAAAAATTGTTCCAAAAAAGGGAGCATACACCTGTACGGCTGTGTATCTGTGAACTTCCAGAATGATTTTCTGTCTTTAAAAAAAACAAACGAAAAAGAAAAGAAAGGATGCTTTTATTTGTATATCTAAATATCTTCTGCTGTTCCTGTGATTTCAGTCTTCTCTCCCCAGTGCCTGGGAGGTTGCAAGGAAAGCACTGGATCGCAGAGACTGAGTTTGCGGATGCTTTTTTTGTTAATTAATCGGTTTTTGATGAATTGTGACTATTCTGCTTTCTTAGGAGCTGGAGCACCAGAGAGGAGCCCTTATGAATGAAATCCAAGCTGCCAAAAACTCTTGGTTTAGCAAAACCCTGAACTCTATCAAAACGGCCACAGGCACACAGCCACCGCAGCACCCACAGCCGCCCCTGCCACCCAGAGAGGGCAGTACATAGTGCCAGCCCGAGCCGACACAAGAGCACAAAGAACACCACAGCTGAAACCCTGGAGGATTCTTCCAGTGGTCCCTCCTCTTGGGGAAAGGACAAAAGGCAGGAGCGCAGGCTTGAAGTGAAATTCTTCGGTGTTTTTCATTCATTCTGATGTGACCCTTTTCAAAGGGGGAAAAAAGATAATTCCTGTTTTATGTTGAATTCTTACTTCCCAAATTGCCTTGCTGAAAGCCACGTTCTGATACCTTCATACTTTTACACTTTATTTTATATGACTAGATGTTAAATAAATACTTCAAACCTAGGTCTTTAATACATGACTAATTATTCAGAATTATTTTTAATCTTGCATAGAAGGTTTTTTTCTTCTTCTGGAGGAAGAGAGAGAATGGAAAAAGTAAAGTACTGAAGCATAATCTCTTCATTGAAAGCACAGTGTAATAAGTACTAGCGTGTGTGTGGGTGTCTAGGATAACTTGCGCCCTGGGACCATCTCAGAAGTTTATCGCAGTGACTGCGACCTGCAGAGAAGCACTTTTTGTAAAGCTTAGGCCGTAGCAAAGACAGTCTTGTGCTCTCTTGGCACAATTGTGTGTGAGCTTCCCTGATAATTTCTTAGTTTTGATTGTTTTTTCTTCAGAAGTGCAAGTAGTGCAGTTCTTGGTAGCACTGTTGTTTAAAGGCTATTTACAGCTGAACTGGAATTTAACATAAAGTTACCTAGTTCCCTTTTTTATTTCGTGTTTATACTAAGAATTCCAAGAAATTATTCCTTCCACTGGGATAAAGGGAAGACTGTTCAACATTTATCCGAGTTTTTGCTGAGAAGCAGAGCGAAGACCTCGCATACTTTTGACCTTTTGTAAATCCTGTGCAGTAAAGGGTAGGTTTTATGAATAAAAGTAATGCAAACCTTTCCCTGGGTCTATATTCAAATTCTGAATTTGACACAGAAATGAGGCATCAAATAAAAAACCCAAAAGGCTTGTGCTGCACTGACGAATAAAACCTCACAGAAGCAAGATCCGTTTGCTAGAAGTATTTGGTTAGGAAATGCTACGTTGGTATTACTTATTTTTATAAAAACAAACATTTTCAAGTGGAATACAAAACCTAGCCTTTTCCGTGGGGTAGACTTCTCTGATGATTCCCAAACCTGTCTGGTTGTTTTGTATCTCTTAAGGTAAGAAAATTCAAAAGCATTTGTTTTGACTGAACATAAAGTGTTTATAGAAAAGCTTATTTCATGGAAAATTAAACTATTGCTTGAACTGATGGAATATTTTTTTAATTATACCTGTCATGTCTAAAGATGGTCTTGCAGGTGAATACCATTGCTGGGCTAACGGTTGTGTATTAATTGTTCCGTTTACAAAATCGTTCCAGGGACATTAGTTCTGTTTTGATTTTTATTTTTTTTTTTTAATTCTAAGGAATGCCAAATCTTGTCAGTTTTGTACAATAAAATTTAATGATACTCATCTTGCGCTTTGTTGTCAAGCATAATTGTGAATTATTTTAAACAGGGTAGTACAAATTTAATGTTACCTGTGCCAAAGGAATGATTCTGAAAGGCAGTCAGCTGTTTGAAGTAGAGATCGAAAAATAACCACTATCCAGACACAACCATCCTGCAATGAAATTCTCTCTTCTGAGAGTAAGGGGTTAAAAAAAATTTAGTATTTTAAAATGTACCTGCAAGAACAGTGATTATCTGGAAATATTAATACAGTGAGAAAAAAGGGGGAAAAAGCAGAAGGGATTTCTTTTGCAAATATTAACAAAGATCTTTTTCCCTGGTCACTTTCTTGCTAATAATATTTGCATAAATGTTTCCATTCTCTTGACTGTCTAAACCTCGCATTAGTCATTCACTTACCAGTTCCGCTTCACACTCAAAATGAACCGCATAATAAATTTGATGTGACATTTAAGAATACCTGGTGAACATCTGACTGTTACATTTGAGAGTACTGTGCTGATGAGTAACACTGACGGTTTGACAAGTATCCGAATTCTCATTGCATTTATCTTAAATCATACTTAGAAGTGGATTTAAAACCTTGATTGGAAAAATGCAGTAATAATAAAACCCAAAAAGGGTAAGACTGTGATTCCCTCAGCAGCTGAGTTAGCGTAACAGCTCGCTGCTGCTCAAAGATCTCACCCCTCCAACTCCCCGTTGTCCAGTCGTGTCCCTTGTTATGGCACTTACCGGAGATGATTAAAAACAAACAAAAAAAGTAGTGGGTGGATTTTTCCGTCCCCCGGTCAGTCTTTTGCCAAGTCAATGAGTTAAATCATCTCAAAAGGGCCGAATGAGTGCAAGCGGATCATGGGAGTGGGACTTCCCCAGTTCATCAAAAAAGAACTGTTAAATCAGCTCACCACGTTTCATGGAACTACCTTTGGCACCACCTCACCTTTCTCAGTGTAGCAGCTCTCTGACTTTGGAAGTTGAGTTTCTGTGACAAAAACATGTTTGCTACCTGCTAGCTGTGATGATTTCGAAACCTTGTAGGATGGAAGTTGGCTTACATAGCGAAAAAAGGTTCAGAAGGCAATGGCTGCATTATTGCTCTTGGCCATGACATAAAGGCTGTAAACAATTTTCACCTTCCATCTGTAGATCCAGGGTAGCGTTTGCAGCAGTGGTATTTGGAGGAGTAATATTTACGTGGAAACTGTGTCTTCTCAAAACTACTGAAAGAATAAGAAAATAGCTCTATGGCATTATCTTGATGAATAAGCATAGTTATATTCAGAAACAAAGAAAGGAGCAAGACTGCAGGATTAAACCAGGCAAGCTAAAACTCTACCTGCTGACTATACATGCTGTTGGGAAACTTAGCTTCCTGGGAGAAAACAAATCTGGGTTTTAATTAGCCCTTTCAGCAGTGTGTGACAGAGCTACGTGCACACATATCCCGGACCGACTGATCCGTCAGGGATAGCTGGCTCCTTGTTTAGCTTTTCAGCAGGGAACATCATCAAAATCTCACCGAAACTGTTATTTTCATGTGGCACTGGAACAGCTGACATAGCTCGTAAGTCTGGAGTGATTAATATTTTTTTTCCTGAGTCAGTATTAAACTCTGTGTCCTCCTCAAACTTACATTAACAGTAATTTGAATTTTATAAATATAAATGTGCAACTAAGTCTTATTTTTTAATTTCATTGAGAATGCACAGTTCTGAAATAAAGCTTTTACTTTGATTAGGGACAAACCTCCAAGAAATATTTTTAGTACAACTGTTTTATCTTGTTGGATTCTAATCTGTTCCTGAGATGCCCAATATGGGAAAAAAAAAAAAAGTACTTTTTTCCATTTTAAAAAGAAGTTGTTTTTACTTGGACTGTAACACTTTACAGGATAAATGAAGCAAGGCTGATGTAGTTACATGGTGCATCTGTGAGCTAGTCTTGTATTATCTTCGTGAATCAAAGTTAATATTCTAAAGTAATAGGACTTATTTCAGTTAGTTTGACAAGTTCTAAACGTACCTGGAGAGAATTAAAAACAATAAAATAGAAAATATAATGCGTGGTGTTAATCCAAGAAACTGCAAAATCCCCAAGGTCCATAAACATTAATGTTTAGTAAAACCAGTCTCAGGAAAGGTCGTCAGCCATGTAATCAGTACTGCCAGCTGACAAACACATCCTTGTCCTGCCCATTAATTACTATATGATTTGCTACAGTTAAGTTACGTTGCTGCAGCTAAGGGAAATTGCTTACATAGGTAAGCAATCTTTTTCCCTTTGTTAGAACATTTTACAGGACTTCTCTTGGTTGGCCCTGGAAATTTCTTTTAAGATAGATGCTTTCAGCTGTGCCATTGTGTTAAAAAAACCCTCAAAACCAGCCATGTACAAGGGGAGAGGGAGATAGAAAAAAGTCAAGAACAGCAAGAATTCAGTCCCTTGACAAAGCATGAAGTATCCCATTGACTTCAGAGTCACAGTGTCACTCACGGACTGAAGGTGGCAATTTAGAAGTAAATAAAAATCTGAACTTACTGGTATTGAAGTATCAAAACTTGGAAGCTCCGTAACTCATGCTTTCTCCACAGGATGAAGGTAGGGGCTGTTCCCTTCCCTCTATTAAGTAGTTGCAGTGCAAATCCATGAAACTACTTGTATGTGCGGGAGAGCTATACCTCTTATTTTGATTTACTGTTAGACTCAGGGATAATTGGCATACTTCTGCATAATCTAATAAGCCTAAATACCTTTGGCATTGAAAACAGAAACACTCTCATCTTACAACGCTGGTTTTCTTCCAACTGCTAGAGAGAAAACCTTAGTACGTGTTACTGTCTGAATGTGAAGATCATCTTTCTCAAGGCCGAGGGAGCGTTCTGACCAGCACGCCTCTGTTACGGCTGAGCCCCGCAGAATGGGCCGTTGGGCAAACAGCTGGCTGCACGAGACGTGTAATGCTGAGTATACCCAGGGCGGTGAGTAGACACGGCGCCAAGCATCACGTTCTTGCAAACACAACGGCTTGAACTAAATTATTTTTCTGTCTCTTATGCTAATATCCTACTGGGAGCGGTCCCGTTACCTCCTTCCAGGTCATGCTACTAAGGGGAGGCACAAAGAAGCACTCGAGTTTGGACCTTTCAGGTTAGGTCAGGTATACGTCACAGCAGCCCTGAAAACTGGGCTGATCCCTAGATGGGTTTGGGGAAATTCAAAGAATTTGCAACTGGATAAATAATACTCAGATAGGATCAAGATCCTGTCTTTCCCAAGTCAGAAGTCTACATAATTTATTTCAGGATCGTGACTTAACATGTACCAGTTAATCCTCCAGGAATACAGGGCTCTCCATTTCTCCTGGATTCCAACTGCTTTGCTACTGAATGTATTTCATGCTATTTTTACCTGAAAAAGAAAAAAAAAAAAAAAAGATATGGGTAGAGAATTAGGACATTACTTCCTCTTATTTTCTTATTCAGTGGGACTTGCTTTTATTTAACCTGTAAAGGAATATATATGTATCTTTGGAAAACTATATCTTATATATAGAATAATATATAGGAAACTGAATCACAAGGGGATAAATACATCAAAAGGATTTGGTATCATAAATTTCGTTTGTGATCTGATACCAGCAGAATCCTGGGCTGTACTAATTTCCTTTCAGTTTCTCTTATTTTTGTATTTTATATAATACATGGATGATACTACCAATGCAAACGAGCAGGTGTTCTCAGATTTTTCTCCAGATCCCAATTCCCTCCTTCCAGTAATCCCTGGGTTTGCACTGCTGCTGATACCACCTGTGCCA